ACACACACACACACACACACACACACACACACACACACACACACACACACAGTTCATAAACTTGCTTCTTTCCCTAAAGAAAACACTCACTTTTTTTTTTTGTTGATTTTCATTGAGAAATTCTAGTATAAGCCAAAGAACTTTAACTCAAGAATAAGTTGCATTCTTATGTCATCATCATGCTACCATTCAGATTTACCTTATTAAATAGTTTTACTGGTGCTGCAATGGAGCCGGTTTCCCTGAGGTAGTCAAACCATTTAAAAGGAAGTTTTGTGTAACCTAAAAAATACAACTGGTTTAGGTAACAGTACATTTAAAATTAGCATAACCTTAAAATGTCAGTAACTCAGTACAGGAAATCTCAGATTTTTAGGTGGCAATGATAATTTCTTTTCATTCTATTTTAAAAAATATATATATTTATTTTTGAGGTTGGGGTCCCAAATAGCTCAGGCTAGCCTCAAATATGCTATGCAGTAGAAGGTAAATGCCTTTTCCTTAGTTCTTTTGTCTCTACCTCCAGGTATGGGACTCAAGAGATACTACTTTACTTGGTTATATGAAGAACTTCTAGTACCATATTACGAAGATGTCTCTCCTTTTCAGACACATGTGCATGCCTCCTTATCTTAATGCAAAAGTGATTCTTTTCTGTTTACTTCAAGGATAGACATCTGCTGTGTGTGCATGTGTGTGTGTCTTAATGGGGATCTAATTGAGGACATCAACATGCTAGACAAGTGCTCCTACAACCAAGAGCCACTACAACTCCTTGCAACACTAGGTTTTAGAACAGTTTAACATTTAATACTCTTTTTTTCCCCAGGAAACTATATTAACTGAATTATACTTTCAACAAATCTTTTTTGCCTTAACCCCATCTTAGAGAAAAATCCAAGGTAAAGGTCAAAAATTAAAAATTAAAGGTCACTTTAAACCATAAGATTTGCTAAAGACATAGAACTTTGTTTTAAAAGATGGATAGCTGGGTGTGGTTGTGCACACCTTTAATCCCAGCACTCCGGAGGTAGAAGCAGGAAAGTATCTATGGTCTATATAGTAAGTTCCAGACCAGCTAAGAATACAGAGATCATGTCTTAACAAAACAAAAATTTTAAAAGGCATATGATAATCTAAAAAGAGAGTCTTTTTTTTTTTTTCTTGAAGGCTAAGTATCCATTAAGTGGATACTTAAATGTTCATGTGGGAGCTAAGACCAATGGTTGCTCTTCCAGAAGAACAGGCCTCATTTTCCAGCACCTGCAGCTATTAACTGTCTTTAACTACGGTTTCAAGGGATCTGATGCTCTCTTCTTGTTTCCTCAGGCACCAGGCACACAAGAGGTACAGGCATACACACAGGGAAAACACCCATACCAAAAAAAGTTGTGGGTTTCAAAATTTTTATTGGTGTTTTGCCTGCATTTCTGTGTGAGAATGTCAGATCCTGGAGTCACAGACATATGTGAGGTAAAATGTAGGTGCTGGGATCTGAATCCAGGTCCTCTTGAAGAACAGTCAGTGCTCTTAACCAGAGCCATCTCTCTAGCCCCCAAAGATTGTATTTTTACTTTACTTAACATTGAGGCAGGGTCTTGCTGTATAGCCCTGGCTGGCCTGCACCCACTATATAGAACAGGCAGGTTTCCAACTTGTGGGTGGTCCTCCTGGCCTTGCCCCCAAGTACTGAGATTTCAGACATGCACTACCAGGCTTGTCTTCAGACTATCTCACAGCTCTTGTATGTTTTAGTCTATCTATACATACTCACACATATTGTGTGTAAATATACATACAATAATTAAGATTAGGGCTGTGTTAAAGCACATAACAAAGCAAAAACAAAAACAAAGCAAGGCTAAAAACTGAGTGTTTATACCAGGATGGAGTACCTCTGGGTGGAGTCAGTTCTATCATGTTAATTTCACAGAAACCCACAGGGAAAATAGAAGGAGAGGTTGCATGATAACAAAACCAGTCAGATCCGTCTGCTGCTTCTGAGCCATCAATCCCAATCATCAGGAATCCATCAGCCAGCACCTTTGAAATCAAGAAAATCCCAAGTACTTGAACATAAATACCACTGTTACAAAAAATGGTATTTTAAACAACATTCTAAAAGGAAAATCTATTACATAAAGATGCTTTACAAGTAAAAAAAAAAAAAAACTTCCTCATTGGATATTTAATAAAGAGATACAATAACGAGAAACTGATATAAATTGTTAATGAATACTAGAAACAAACCAACAAACAAACATCATACAGAATTGATTTCAGAAAAGCAAGGTTTACAAAGAGATGACTTAAGATGTTTTGAAAAATGAATGTTTTTGGCCAATTACTGACTGAAATACTTTTTTATGACTAAGCCACCTAGTGCCCAGTGTGTGAAATGCTTGGTTCCCAAAGTCTAATGACCAGAGATCAATTCACAGAACTCACATAGTGAAGAGATCCTAATATCTACACAAACACAAAAAATAAAACGGGATAAAAATAACCATCTAGCGGTTAAGTGTCAGGTTGTTAGTCCTAACATGATAATGTTTTCCTTCTCTTTTGACTTTTCTCTCTCCCCCTCTCTCCCTCCCTCCCTACTGTATGTGAGTACACTGTAGCTGTCTTCAGACAAACCAGAAGAGGACATCAGATCCCATTACAGATGGTTGTGAGCCACCATGTGGTTGCTGGGAACTGAACTCAGGACCTCTGGAAGAGCAGTCAGCGATCTTAGCCACTGAGCCATCTTTCTAGGCCCCCCTCTTCCGACTTTTTATATAGAAAAAAACCTTTTGCTAATTCTCCACCTTCCTCAAGCTTCAGCTTGCTGTCTTTTACCATATTCTTCTATGATACTAAGACTGATTGGGCCCAACCAAGAGTCCTCTCAACTCTGTAATCATGCCTTACACTCCGGTTAATAAGCAGCATTCCTGCCTTCCAATACTAGTCCTTGAACTTGAGATCCTCTTGGTCCAAATTCTCAAGTGTGGAATTACAGACTTGTAGAACCATGTCTAGTTTTTCCCCACATTTATTTTGAACACAATAAATGTCTATATCCGCTCAATTATCACAGGACCTTGTCCAAACACATGATGTTTTACGCCCTTAATTTCCTAATTCCATTACACTGAAAGTATTTTATACCCTGTTCAACAACCAAGAAAGGAAAAAAAAAAAAAGAGAGAGATAGGTTCAAAACCCACAAGGCATAAGGATATTATTGCAGTGAATTCTGTAGACTGCGCTCTGAGACCTAGTTCAAGGTAAATACTATACAACTTGTTGCTGTCTCCTTTCTATCCTTATTTAGCCTGAAAAACTCACCAACAACCTTGTTTTCTCAATCCAGTGGTCTGTAACACTACCCTCTTCAAATATAACCTTAATTAGTGAGACAAGATGTTACTATGTAGCCCTGGCTGGCTAGGAACTCACTATGTAGACCAGGCTGGCCTCAAACTCAAGAGATTTGTAGCCTCTGGCTCCTGAATGTCGAGATTAAAAGCATTCATTACTATCTATGCCTGCTCTTAAATCGTATTTTATATGACACCTGATTAATGACTTTTACTTTTTGTCCTTCTACACCCTCAGACTGTCATGTTCTAGTCTACTGATTAGCAGTCACTTCTCCATTAGTCTTTGTCAGACTCTTTTGCTAGCTGGCTTTTCAACTCCAACCCTTAGATTTCTGATTTTAGCTCTTTGCTTCATTCCAATGACTTCAGACACTATCAACTTCACAACTAAGGGGAGTTTGTCTCCCGTGCAGAGCCTCAGTATCCATTTGATCTCCATGCTGAACACACTCTCTGAGAGCTAGTTCATTGCCTCAAGCCAACAGCTACTTCTTTAATCCTTTAGAAAATATCACTTAGTTCACAATTCTTATCTCAAACATCTGGCTCTTGCTTTTATAAAAAAATTTAAAGTACTCATTAAATTTTTTAAAAAGTATTTTGCCTGTATGTATGTCTCTGTAGCATGTGTACCTGGTACTCATGCATGTCAGAAAATGGCATCAGAGTGCGTGGAACTAGGCTCACAGATGGTTGTGAGTCACTGTGTGGGTGGTGGGAACAAAAACCCAGATCCTCTTGCAAGAGTAACAAGTGCTTTTAACTGTGGAACCAACTCTAGAGCCTGACTATTTTAGGGGGTATATGTGTGTGCGGGTACAGGGTATCAATCCAAGAGCCTTGCATCTGTTAGGCAAGCACTCTATCACTGAGCTACAGCCACAGCCCCAACTTTTTTGAATACATATTGTATGCATGTTAACCACTTGCCATTTCATTAATGCGGTGATTAGTTTCTGTTAACGCTAGAGTCACCAGGAAAAAGGGAAACTCAACTGAGGAACTGTCTCTATCAAACTGGCCTGTGGGCACGTCAGTGAGACATTTTCTTGATAATTGATGTAGTAAGGACCAGCTCCTTGTGAGTGGTTCCATCCCTAGGCAGGTAGGTCCCAGATGGCTAGGAGTGGTAGCATAAACCTTTAATGCCAGAACTCATGAAGTAGAGGCAGGTGAATCTCTATGAGTTCTTGGCCAGCCAAGGCTAAGTAGGGAGACCCTGGCTCACAGGAATAAGAGGTAGCTGAGGAAGTCAGTGAACAGCACTGCTCTGTGGTCTGTTTCCGTACATTAAGTTCTGCACTGATGGCTTATAGAGGTTAAGCTAAAATAGACTCTTTCTTCCCCACATTGTACTGTGGATGCCGTTGTAACAGAAGCTTCCTGCAATATTCTAGTTCACATCTGACCTCAGGACTATTTCTTCTTACCTTATTCTTCAGTGTGTAAGTATCAAACTAACCTATATTTGGATTGCCCTATTGGGCAACAAACATAACAATTTCATTAGTGTGTAAATCTGATTTTTGTTTTTAATAATAAAGGGTAAAATTATACATATGCCATGGTGGCTTTTTTTTGTTTTGTTTTCCTGAGACAGGGTTTCTCTGTGTAACAGAACCCTGGATGTCTTGAAACTTGCTTTGTAGACCGGGCTGGCCTTGAACTCATAGAAATATGCCTCCTGAGTGCTGAGATTAAAGGTGTGCACTACCATGCCTAGCTCCAAAAAATAGTTTAAAAATAAATTTGTGATGTATTTGTGTTTGGTTTGTACAAGTATTCCACAAACCTGTATGTCATGGGTTGCATTAAAGTTCTGGGTAAAAAGGGGTTGTGAAGTCTTTGACTGTAACACATTAAAAAATAAAACAGATCTGACAACAGAACTCAAGTTTATTTAGAAAGTTCTTCCCAATGAAGATCCAGACATGCTTATGTTTTTTCTTTATCTTTTCTTTTTTTTCTTTTTCCAGAGCTGAGGACTGAACCCAGGGCCTTGAGCTTGCTCGGCAAGCGCTCTACCACTGAGCTAAATCCCCAACCCCACTTATGTTTTTTCAATACAAACCTGCTCGAGACCCTGTTCTGATTTTAAACCCAGTTCCTCTGATAGAATTTTCCTAATTTGGAATATATTCTCTTACCTTTCTAATGGTTGCAACACATATTGTAGAAAGATTTAATGGATCTATAGCTTCCAATTTCATTCCTTCTTTGAACCATTCTCCACTCTGGTCTACTTCTTTTACCTACAGGAATGAAATACACTATTACACGTCTTTTAGAATTATTTATTTAGTGTGTGTATGTATGTATGTGTGTACATGCCACCAAGCACATGCAGGTCAGAGGATAACTTATGAGAATCACTTCTTCCTTCCCACTTGTTGAGGTTGGGTCTCCCTCTTATGTCCACTGCACTGTGTACCACAGTCTGTATGAGCTGCATGCTTCCAGGTGATACTCCTATCTGTGCTTCCTATTGTGCTGTAGGAGTGCTGGGATTACACATGCATTCCATGGTATCTCAACCATGCTTTTTACAGCTGTTCAGAGTAATAGGACATGCATAGTACTTGAAGCTGCTAAACTATCCACAGGCTGGCTTTGTACTAATCCTCCTGTTTCAGCTTCCTAAATGTTTTTACTTTAATGATGAAAATATTCCCAACTTGCAAACACTTACTAGATGCCCTTTCCTACCTAATGCTATAGCTCACAGTTTCCTTAGGGAACAGAAAGAATATACGAATACACATAGTTTAGGAATGGGTCTATTAAGGATTTGTGAAACCTGAGGACTATGAAGATTTTAATTTTTAAGTGAGCATATGTGATATCCATAATTTTAGGAAATGCAACAAGCCCTTTTAACCTGACTTATAAATGAGGGCTTGCAGAAACTTACCTTAGCAAATAAGTGTGGCGGTGTATCGAAATGTCCATCCTGTTTCTTTGTAATATCTACAAGGAAAAGTTATAGACTAGTCTGTTAGCATTCTTGAGAAGACCAAATACCACACCTCCTTGAAGAGTTCAAACTCACAAGGTAGTAATATTCTAAACTATGGCAAAACCCCCATGTTTTCTGCATTTGTGGTGGTGAAAATAATAATAGCCCTTTTGGTTTCCAGAGCACATGCATATATGCTATTACATTTATGTTAATTACAATGCTGCTAATTCCACAATAAGGGAATTACAGTATCAGAAGCTTTTTTTCCTCTTGGTGTGGTGTTGAGAAGAGAGGGCCTCACAAATGCCAAATACTCCAGTACTGAACTATACCCACAGCTCTCTTCACTTTTTGTTTTGAGGGAGGGGCTCACTAAAATGCTGAGGCTGTTCTTAAACTTATGATGATCATGCCTGACCCTCTTGCATAGCTGGGACTACAGGCCTGCACCACTAGGCCGCTCTACAACAATGCTTTTGTGTGTTTCATACCAAGTCTAGTTAAATTCAATCTTGCCATTTAGATTAAAATTAGGTGGAAAGGACATCTCATTATAGCTTTCATATGGTCTAGAGTAAAAAAAAAAAAAAAAAAAAGAGTACAATTGTAGTTGTGAGAAAAAGGGATGAAAATTGTCTTTTTGTGCCAGAAATAAAACCCACGGTCTCATGTATGAATGTACATTATAATAAATGGATAGGAAGTAGAAGGAACATAAGATCTGCACTTTTGTAGGTAGGAGAAACAACCAAGAAGTTCGTCAGCCTCACTAACATTATTGAAAGTTTTTGTGACAGTTGCTTACCAGATCTCTTGAATCGATGGCCTATGCTTCTCGACCACCCAATATGGTGGATTAAGGGGCTGTGCATGTGGCACCAGAAGTCATCCGTTCTATCTTCACTCTCTTCATACACCAGCCGTAGTCTTCCTCCAATTACACTTTCTACCACTGCTACTCTTGTTCGACATAAATGCCTCTTGTCAACTACTTCTACTCTCATGCAAGGTTTGAAAGGATACTGCATACTCTCAGAAACCTTCAAACAAAAGCAGAAAAACATCTTGTTGGAGACTCATGACAGAGGTCTATATGCAGCTTTAATATTGTCCTCCCTTCTTGTCTGTCTATCTATCTATCTATCTATCTATCTATCTATCTATCTATCTATCTATCTATCTAATCAATCTGATCTATGAGAGACAAGGTAGCCCAGGCTGTTTTGAAACCTGCTATTATATAGATAAGGCTAATCTTGAATTTGTAGCCTCTGCTTCCCAAGTGCAAGGATTAAATGTACGAACCACCATGCCTGGCTTTTGTTTTGTTTTGGGGGACAGGGTTTCACTCTTTAGCCTAGAGGAAACTTCTAGCCACCCTTCTCCTCAGTACTGGGATTATGGGTATGAGTCATCTTCTCTGAAAATGTATTTGGTATTTAACAGTTCAGACATTACAATTCTTTAAAAGCTTTTCTAAATCATTCTTTTAAAAGAGCTCTTCAATTCTTCAAGGATTCTGTTTTTACCTTTTGTGAGAAATCAGGAGGAAGCGTTTTGGCACCAGTAAGTCTTTTGACTAGAAAAGCTTTCCAGTTTGTATATTTATGTTGAACAGCTAAAATAAAAGAAATATCTAGTTATCCTTTAGCAGACTGTTTCACAAATTAATAATTAAAAAAAAAAGAACTCTAAAAAACAAAGAAACAAGGTTAGCAACAAGTTATGAGTATTAAGTTGGTTGAAGGTAGCAAGCATGGAGAAAATAAGTATGTCTTGCTAGCATAAGAATTATTTGACATAAAAAATATCCATATTAATTTCTGTATTACTTTAGAATATTATGCATAAAACACCACTGAGACATTTGTTTTAAATGACTGTGGGCTGGAGAGCTGGCTCAGTGCACTTTGCTGCTGCTTTTGCAGGACTAGAGTTTGATTCCCAGAGCCAACGTGGCAGCTCACAACTGCCTAAACTATAGCTTTGAGGGGCTCCAGTGCCCTCTGTGGGGTCAGGCACGCACGCACACACACACACACACACACACACACACACACACACAGGCAAAATATTCATACCTATAAGATAAATGGATCTGAAGTTTAAAATAGAATTAAACGACTATGAGGCCACTCACTTCTAGGAGGAACGAGAGGTTTTCCACTGGCTGCACACCAACCAACTGGATGAATATCAGACCCACATATATTGCACCAGAAGTCCAGAGAAGAATCATTTTCAAATCCTTCATATCTCAAAAGGGCATTATAACCTAAAGCCAACAAATCAGTCATTACATAGTAAGAAACAAAATTAAAATGATACAGCTCTTAAGGTAATGGCTGTCAAGCTTTGCTGTCCCCTTGTAGCAGAATCACCTGCCGTTTATTAACAGAGGTTAGCCCCTTCTAAGGACTCTGGTCCCATGCTAGGGAATGGGATGGTGTGGAAAATCTCTAAGTCCCTGGCCAATACTGATTCTGTTGGACTATTGTTCAACTTTGAGAATCGTTTGTTAATACAAAGACAATTTTTCAGAGCATGGCTTTTTTCTCTGTATTTCAATTTTACCTATAATTTCTCAAATACTGGGGATGGAGAACACTACAGTGGAGAAAAGTGGGAGGAGGATAGTTTCCTGAAAATGGGTAGTTTTCTTTGGTAGTAGGGTCTCATGTAGATGAAACTGGCCTCAAATCGACTACAGGGCTGAAGACTCTCCACCTTCTAAGTGCTAAGGTGATAAGTATGATTAACATTTCTGAAATCGTTCTTAAGAGTTTTGTTTTGGGGTGTGTGTGTACATGCATGCAGGTCAGAGGGCAATCTCAGGTACTGGTCCTCCCCTTTCACTGTATTTGAGACAGGATCTCTTTGTTGCCTGCTAGTATACGAGTTTTTGGGGAATTTTTCTTGCCTTTGTCTCTCACCTTGCTGTAGGAGTAGTAGGCCCTGCCTCTCCAAGGCTTACTACCAAAATAGTAAAGAATATAATTGGAAGACATAGGAGGCAAAAAGAAAAACCAGAAATATAAAACCAGAATCAGTAATTAGGAGTAATTCTTGGATAGTAAATGTGCTGATTTTTTGAACTATTTACATGCAAGTGATTCAAACATCTGGGACATAAATGCTGTCTTTAATTGTACAACAAATAACAGAAACATTTAAAGAATGCTTATGTAGACAGATGTCTCAAGGAAAGGTCTGAGAGGACAGGAGAAAATACAGAGTCTAGGACTCTTGCCAGAGTGATCAAAGGCACAGATGTAGTTTACTAGGAGAGGCCTTGCCCAGCACACTCAGGCCTTGAATTCATCCCCTCAGCACTCCAGGATACCTTTTTTTCTCTGAGACAGTTCTTTCTTTCTGTTATGTAGGCCAGGCTGATCTGAATCATGCTACATAGCTGGGGCTAACCTTGAACTCAGAGACCCACCTGCCTCTGCCTCCTGAGTGCTGCTATTAAAGGTGTGGGCCACTACACCTGGCATCAAAGCCACCTTTAGGTAACTCTATGGACACTGGACAGTGAAGCAATATTTAGTGATTTAGTGTTGTTATTGGGAGACAAGTTGGAGATTAAGTCCATCTGGCTGGTTTGGAATACTGTTTGATTTTTCTTTTTTTAAATGGCTGGAAAGAACTGAAGGACAGTACTTCCTTCAGATAAAGTTGTGACAGCTTTATGAGATAGACTGAAATTTCACAAATAAAATTCTACAGCTATATACATTTGTTTATATGCTGGTATAGTTGTTCACAAGTTAAAATGAATAGAGACAGGAGTGTAATAAACTGCAAATGCCACAAATCCAAGAATATTTATTGTCTGGCTATTTATAAAAAAATCTGCCAACTCCTACATATATATTATTTATTTTGTAATACTTGCAAAATTTGTATACATTTTTTAAAACAAAGTTTGTGTCACTGGCATTTTTAAGTAAATCACCATGTATGCTTTTCACCTGCTAATTTTATAATTCCAGCAATCCAGAAGACTTTGGTAGGTAGACTGCAGTCTGTATTGGGAACTTCTATCCTTACATTTTCTGAGATATCACCCCAGCAGGTCCCCATAGGTGCCTGTCATACAAAAATTATTAAATTAACATCTTAGTAACATAAGCATGAAATATTCAAAATTAAGTATCATCAGCAATGGAATATTCAAATAAAGTTAGCCACTCATTTTTTTTCTTAATGCATAGTTTCTATTTCTTGTTGTAAAGAATTTTACTCGGAGAAAGCCAGAGTCAGGATCAAACTCAAGACAGAAGACAGAATCTACAAATACTAGATCCATGTTGACTTTGAAATTCAACAGACCAAATGCAACACTTACGTAACAATTATTCTAAAACCTGAATCACAAACTTGGCGGACATCATATATCAAGCTAACTTGAGGAACTCAGTGTCTTTAATGTGTACTGAGTGAAAAATACTTTACCCCTTCATTTCTAAAAATCTTGCCCAAGAGTAGAAAAGAATAATCTCAATTAACAGGCTTCATTCGACATGATCCATGACCCAGAGAAATAGAACAGGTATCTATATTTGAAATGCAAGTTAAATCCACATAATGTAAATACAGTCTATTAAGACAGACAGGAAAAAGCAGGGGAAGGGTAATTAAAGAGGGAGTTGAAGAGATCTGGGAAATAAGACCTACTGTAAAGTTAATTTATTATTTCAAAATTTCTTATGCAACAATTACTATGAAAAGAAAACTTCCAGTGTTAGAGCTGCTGACCACAGGCCTCTACCCCACTGGTTAGAATGGCGACTGAGAAAAGTACTTAAGAGTATAACAACTGCCATTTCCCAAAGGTAACATGTTCCCGAACCATTTCTACAAACTCCTAAACTACAAGGCAATATACAGTTACTTGGATTTTATGCAACAGTAAATTAAGTCAAATACACGAGTTTATACTTATTCATTAGTGCTGAAAATTCTAGTCTCTGTGACCCTGGATAACCAACGTTTCCATGACATGTAGAACACTGGACATAAATAAAAAGGGCAAGGTTCTTGAAGACCTGCTAATAAGGGATAAATCAGGTAAAAACAAAACAGCCTCAAAACTAAAAGATAAGCAAGCACGGACATCAACTAGCAAATATGGACACCGGGAAAGAAAATATATTCTGTCAAAGGAAAAGCCCCTAATACTGTGATGGTAACCCAGAACCCAGTCAGTCAATCTAAAGCAATATTTAACTCCTGTCCTCTAAACAGTTAATAAATCACTGAAGGAAACAGAATGTTAAAAAAATAGTGAATTAAGATAGATCTAGAAGCCAAAGACATAGCAGTAATGGCTAACACTTTGAGTAGCAAGCAATGAATATACCTTACTCACTTGGAGACATGCCCAATCTCAATTGTTTGTAATTATGGGGGAGGGAACACACACATATATATATATCAAGAGAGGAGTAAAAAATAAAACTACTCCCATCCTCCTTTGACACAGGGTTTTGCTATGTAATTCAGGCTGGCCTGGAATTTGCCATGTACATCACACTGGCCTTAAATTTGAAATCCTCCTGCCACAGCCTCCCCACACCCCAAGTGCTAGCCTTACAGGTGTGTGTGCGCCATCATACCTGCTTTTCCTTTTTAAACAAGAAGACTGGACCCTTCAGGTTCTGCTACCTCCCCCTACATCACTCTAGACTGTAGGGCCATCCCTAATGCCAGCAGATATGATTAGAAAAGGCGAGGCTAGAAGGAAGACAGGTAGTATAGACTAAGCTAACATATACTAATACAAAGGCCATATATTTGTTTCTTGTGACGATTAACCAGAGAAGCTAGGTTCAGGTAAATGCATGATTAAAGCTGCATTAAACTATACCAGGGTAGCTACTCTTTGCTGGACTGCCAAATCTGTGAATTAGACTTTTATTGAGAAGAGGCATGGCTATGCTGACATGCTACAGATTAGGTGGGCACAATACTAAATGAAATTTGCATACAGGACTCCTTTCTCAGCTAGACTTGACAACTTATTGTGCTGATTCCTTTTTAAAGCTTCGGTATTATTTTTGGAAAAAATATCTTTTAATGTTATTTATTAAAGAAAAGACATATCAATGTTTACTTAAAAACAAACAAGAACAAAAAGAGGTAATGTTCACTTGAGTGGGAGATCTTTGGTTTGGTCCCTATAGTCTGGATTGGTATAGGAGAAAGTAGCAGAAAGTGACATTTGTTCTTGCCTGTAAGGTTGTGGTTCTGCTAGGCCCTCTTAAACCAATCCATATAGTTCACTCTATTAAAAAAAAAAAAATGAAGAATCAAACATCAACAAGATAGAGCACTACAGTTACAACACAGTATGTGCTCGATGTGTTGAAATAATAGTGATTTCATAGATATATCTGCCCTTTGGTTTTAAATGAATATTCTTTTAAGTGTGGAAGACTGAATGACCCAGGGCTTGACAGCCATCTTCATCCAAGTCATCTGCCTTCTCTTGCTGGCAGGAGGGAGACCTTCAAAGTCTGGATTGGCATAGCATGAACTAGCAGAACCATCATTTACAGGTAACAACAAATTTACCTTCCAGACTCAGGATGCGAGGTCTACCTCAGGCTCCTCCCAAACAAGGAAGATCTGCTCCACCACTTCCTGCTCCAGGGCCACTTGTGAGAGCTATCTGGGAGCGACTCTCCTTCCCTGCAAAGTAAGCTGTCATCAGGTCCTGTAGAGATGGCCAAATCCAAATGCTGAGGGGGTCCCCAACACAAATGTATGATAACCTTCATCTATCTATCTGAAAGAAAATAATCTGGCAGGAAGTCTTATTTCCTTTACTCCAAGAACATTCCCAGATGGTCCAAATAGCCCAGATGATTGGTATGCAGATTCTCAAAGGGCAAACATAATGCTAACAGAGACAAAGATATCCTTCTATAGCACTGCTAACCTGTAACTTTTGATAAACACGACTAACCTTCAGAGAGTATAAATGGGCAGAGGTTAGACTTGAAATTGCAGGTAGGAAACCAAGAAAGCATTTATCCCCATGATAAAGCAAACTCCATCATTATGATTCCTCAGAACAAAAAACTGTATATGGTTACTACAGTGTATCTATTAGAGAAAGATTAAATAAATTTGATTATAAAAGATAAGAAAAGAAGCTGGGCACAATGTTGCACATCTGTAATAGCAGTACTTGGAGGCTGATGCAGGAATTCTGGGTTTGAAGCTAGCTTGGGATACATAGCAAGGCCCTTTCTCAATTTCCACCCTGACCAAACAAAACAAAACAGAACAAAACTTTACCATCGTCTCATTCTCTCTAGAAAGTATACTCACCTTTTGATCAGACACAAGAACCTATTGGGGGGCAGCGTGGGAATAATGCTAGCATAGAGATGTAGGACACAAGAAAAAATGGAACGCATGAAAATGTCTGAGAAAAATGCTATACATATGGTAAAAAAGGAAGAAGACTGTCACTAATTTAAAACCTTCCACCCTCTTTTTGAGACAAGGTCTTACTCTGTAGTCTAGGTTGACCTGAAACTCACTATGTAGACTAAGTTAGCCTTACACTTGTTGTGATCCTCCTGCCTCAGCATCTCAAACAAGGAAGTGGTAAGATTACGGTTATACACTAGTACTTATGGGTTTAAAACTCCTTAATTAAAATAAAACAAAACATAGCCAATCACCAGGAGACCCCCACCAAAAACCAAACAAAGCAAAAAACAAAATCCACTCTAAGAAAGAGTACGAAGTTAAGACAATAACATAGGTTTATTTAGGCTTCCTTTTAAGTTTCCCTGTAAACCCACGGCAGGCAGGCGACTTTCAGTGTGGGGCTTGCTACCTTTGCAGAGAACACACTTTATGCTTCTGTTAGTGGGGGAGGAACAGTAAGAGCCAGAAACCAACTCAAGGTTTATTTTCATTAGAAAGACATTTTATAATCTAAGATAATACACAGAGGTTTTATCTGTAGTTATAATGAAGTTATATTATGTATTTTCCAGAGTTCTCTGTGTGGGTCAAAGACAGAGGGCAATATACCCTAAAAGGGAACTTCAGTAGGAGAAGTATTTCTCAAAAATACGTATCTAAGAAATTATATCATGAATTTTACTATGAAGCTAAGCTATTGCTATCACTCATATACAAAAACAAGAGGGCTTCTGTTTTTCTATCATTAAAACAAGTATGTATGATACACATTGCAAATAAGTAAGAAAAAACTTATTTCTTCAGGAAAACTGCACCCAGGTCAGAAACAAAAACAACAGAAAGACTATATTATGTTAATGATACCAGGTATATTCATGGAGGCAGAATGAAAAGGTCAAATAAACTCTGTTTTCAACTTGTGGTAGATCATGCCTCCAATCTTAACATATAAGAAGCTGAGGCAGGAGGACTGCTATGAGTTCCAGAGTAGTTTGGTTTACAGAAATCCTGTTTTGAAAAGTAACCAGTCAACAAATTATCCCACAATCCATATCACAAAACCCAGCACTGTTCCCCAATCCCAAGTCATAGGGCAGCTAGCTACAGGATATGATGTAGGCAGGATATGACGGCACATCCTCATAATCCCTCTTACAAGGCAGAGGCAAGAACATTTTTAATTCCAGGTCAGCCTGGGCTATGTAGTGTGAGATTCTATTTCAGTTCTCTGCAAATCAAACACTCTCTCTCTCTCTCTCTCTCTCTCTCTCTCTCTCTCTCACACACACACACACACACACACACACACACGATATATAAATAGCTGTGAATCTGATGAATCCATACAACATATCTAAGTGGTATATGGTTGTATTAGTATTATGTAGATTTTTTTTCCTTGTCCAGATACTACTAACCAAGAACTAGAAAAGAGCTGAAGAAATGACTCAGTGCAAACTGTTCTTGTAGAGGATTTTAATTTGTTTCCTGACACCCACGTCAGGGAGTTCACAACCACTTGAATTCCTGCTCCAGAGGATCTGATATCTTTGGCCATCATGGGCATCTGTACTAGGTATGCATATTCACATGTAAGCATATACATAATTAAAAGTAATCTGGAAAAAAAAACTGAAGACTTGTGAAAATTAAGTTTAAAATTATAATCCAGCCTCTCAAAAAAGTAGTAAAAGCTTTATTGAAGAGATGGTCTAGGTGACTAGAAAGTTTTGAAGAAGTTGCCAGCTTCGTGACTATACGACTATATTACAGATCATTTCTTTCTCGTTTGTTTTAAGGCTTTTGATAAAGGTCGGATTCTGCAGCCAGGTGGGGCTGGAGCTCACAGTGCTCTTGTTTCAGCTTCCTGACTGCTGGGATCATAAACATTTGTCACCATATCTGGCTTGATTTAGGATTAAGTAAAAATATACCCACATTTCAGTGATTTCCAACTTAAGATTTGTCAAGGAAAGGGTGGCCAAGGGTTGGAGACCATAGCTCTGACAGAGTTTACTCTGTCAAACCAGTAAGTGTAGTTTCTTGCTGTGATGGAGGTCTAAAAAAGGACAAAAGGGACTGAATTTTCATTGCAGACTTATCTTTTTGGTGGTACTGAGGTCTCATCAACTTGCTCAGGCTGGCCTTAAACTTGGTGAACATTTTATAGCTGAGACTAGCTACAGCAGCAGGATTGTTTCCAAAGATTGTTTGTTTATTTATTTACTTACTTACTAGTCAAAGCCACGGACTATCACTTTATTGGCCTAGCACTCAGGGTAACTTAGGCTGGCTGCAAACACAACGGCAGGATACTTGGCTTAGCCTCTTGAGTGCTGGGACTACAGTTATATAACACCATGCTTGCCTATAAGGTAGATATCTTTATTTTTCTAAATTTTATTTTCATTTTAAATTTTTTTTTATGTACGTGTGTCTTTATACACGTGAACTGATGGTCATAGAGGGCACAGGCATCAGATCTCTGTGTTGCTGGAGTTCTAGGCAGTTCTGAACCACTTAACACGAGTGCTGGGAATAGATGTTGGATCCTATACAAGAGCAATATATGCACTTTACTTGCTGCGCCATCTCTCTACCCTTATAATGTACTTTGTAGAAACTTTGTTTCTAGAAATTTAAAAAATTTCACACTTGAAAATGCCTGACTACCTGGGCAGTGGTGGCGCACGCCTTTGATCCCAGCACTTGGGAGGCAGAGGCAGGCGGATTTCTGAGTTCGAGGCCAGCCTGGTCTACAGAGTGAGTTCCAGGACAGCCAGAGCTACACAGAGAAACCCTGTCTCGAAAATCCAAAAGAGAAAATGCCTGACTGTTAAGTGATAATATGGGTATCTGGACCCTTACACGAGAGGAGGTTAGTTAAGCAGAGAATCCAGGTTCAGGATTCGGACAGCACACTCATACCAATTTTTGTTTCAACAGACAGCTTTGGTTTCGCGTCCCACATTAGAGATGTGTATTTGCAATTAGGTTTGAAAAATAATTTCTACCAATGTGAAGATGCCTATCTGGTACCTAAGTATGCAAGAGGGCAGATGTCAAGTCTCTAAGAAGAAAACCCTACTAGAGAATGTATTAAGTCTTAAAAGGATGATGGTATGAGACACGGTCTCTCTTTCCAGCAATTAATTCCTGGTAACACCCTTCCTATAGCCCAAATCAGTAACTTTTTTTAGAAAGATATCAAATGATCGTGGGGTGGGGTGGGGTGGGGGTGGGGAATATTGGGGAGTCAAACTGAATTTAACATAAGGTCTACCTCTCAAATCAAATGGTTTCAATGGAAATTGTTGATTAAAGCAACAAAGCAATTCATTGTACTAAGACAAAGCGTTTCCTCTCTAACAAAAAGAAAACAGCAAAGAAATGTGAGTGGAACAGGAACTGGTTCTGAGCGAGAAAGAGAAGGTGTCACGATATCCTTATGTGTAAGTTAGCTGTTCCAATCTACACCACAGAACATCCTTTATTGCTAGTCTTCAACTCACTTTGTAGCTGAGACTAGCCTTGAACTCTTGATGAATGCCCTTGCTTCTAACTTCCAAGTGCTGGCATTATAGGTATATGCTGTCACACCCAGTTCCTGAAACTAAATTTTAAATTATAGAAATATTCTTGTTTTGTTTTTTTAAAGCAAATTGCTACAAGTCTAAAGGTCCTTTCTTACCATCTCTGTCCCCTTTCAAACAGTTCCCCTGCACAGAACCACAACTATCAGTCCAGTATACAGCTTTCCAGTCCTTTCTAGAATTACACTTATTTCCAGGGTACAATTACTTGCTCTATGACCATATCAGTCTTAAAATAGCAAAGCTTTAAACAAAACCAACCAACTTAATTACTGTAAGAGATGTATTCACAAAGAACTTTATTTCATATAACTGTTCAAAGATATGGACAGGAAATGAAATTACAGTTTCAGGACCTTGAAATGCTATTTTTAAAATATCTTGGCGACTTATATAAAAAGGCATGACCTAATTCATGACATAAAACATTAAAAAGAAGATCTGAAGAAAGATGGAAGCCATTTAAAAAGAGACAACAGACAGATGTATCAGGAATCTGGGATGAAGACTTACTATGGATTCTGAGCACCTCAGCACCAGAGCAACAGCGTGAGGACTGTGCTTGTGATCTATGCTGTACAGTGGTAGGCATGGGCTCTTCTGCCAGTGAGTGATGATATCCAGCTCTGCACTTCTCTTTCTACTTGTACCTGGTAGAGCCACATTCATCACCTATTTCTCTAGCTTGACATTATTTACCAAGAGCACAACAGGAATCGCTCACTTGACATAGGTAAACACCTAAAGGTTGCATTTTAGGTTCTCTTAGATGGCATGCCACAAAGAGCTTAACATTTGTACATTAAAGGAAGTAAACCAACAAATTAATGCACCGGGATTTAATACATTTACATCAGTGAATTAATATGCTTGAGTCTGTAAAAATCCTTCTTCATTGGCAGAATAAATGAGAACTCACTTGAATTTCATGGTAAGAAAGCATGTGCGGTTTTGTTCACATGTTATTTAATAAAGCCCTTAGCAGAATGTTAAGTGTGAATAAAACTTCATTAATTTCTAACTTTTTTCCTGTTCATGTATGCACAGAAACAGACTTTAAATATAAGTTAATCATGTCATGTTATGAAATATTAGAGTGGGGATGGTGTGATGGCTCAGCGGTTAAGAGCACTGACTGCTCTTCCAGAGGTCCTGAGTTCAATTCCCAGCAACCACATGGTGGCTCACAACCATCTGTAATGGGATCCGATGCCCTCTTCTGGTGTGTCTGAAGACAGCTAGCTACAGTGTACTCATATACATAAAATAAATAAATCTTAAAAAAAAAAAAAGAAATATTAGAGCAAATTATCTTAAGATTAAAGCGAAATGACATCTGATACCTTTTTTTTAACATTAAATGCTCTGAAGAGAACATCTTTCACACTGTTTTTAAGACACAGATCATTTACTCCAGCTTACAAGAAAACATTCCTGCTGCTTCCTTAGGGTGTTTTTTTTTTTTTTTTTTTTTTTTTTTTTTTAACATTTGAAGGCAAAACAGGACCAAGGAAAAACACCTCTTTTAGAAATTACTTGATCAAATCCCAAAGTTCTTGAGATAAAGGTCTTAGGTTGACGATGTAACATGCTGGTAGCCAGCCAGGTGTGTTATAGAAGACCCCATTTTCATGTCTCCAATGGTTCAACAACGAAACTGGATGAGACAGCATTTATTACTTTTCAAAATAATTTCGCCAGGCAGTGGTGGCACACACCTTTGATCCCAGCACTTAAGAGGCAGAAGCAGGCCAGCCTGAGTTCGAGGCTAGCCTGGTCTACAGAGTGAGTTCCAGTACAGCCAGGGCTACAGAGAGAAACTCTGTCTCAAAAAAACCAAAAAAAAAAAAAAAAAAAAAGCAAGCCATATTGTAACTTGTGACATGCTGGTGTCATGCTTTTATTTTTTTTTAAATGTTGGAGACAAAAAAGACACAGGGCCTCAAATGTTCTAGGCAATCACCTGTCCCTGAACTCTAATACTTCAAAAGCCCTCAAAAGGGACTTTTCATTTAATGGGAAGATATTACTTACAAAACATAAGTTATTTTTAGCCATTAAGTATAGTAAAGGAGAAACATTTTTCTCTTTTGGTATAAGCAAACACTTTCTAAGGATAAGATGATTAGGTGCTGCCAGGCAGTGATGGCACACACCTTTGATCCCAGCATTTGGGAGGCAGAGGCAGGCGGACTTCTGAGTTTGAGGCCAGCCTGGTCTACAGAGTGAGTTCCAGGACAGCCAGGGCTACACAGAGAAACCCTGTCTCAAAAAAACCAAAAAAAGAAAAGAAAAAGAAAAAAAAAAAAAAAGAAAGGATGATAAGGTATTATTGTACATTCAGATTTAAAGATCCAGTATTTCATGGTATGAAAGAAATTCCATACTCACATGCTTAAAACAGGCAACTGGAGCTGCTATGAAGCTATTGCTGTTGATGTAGTTACCCCAGCTGAAGCCTTCCACGGAGATAGCTGAAATGAAATAAATTTAGATATAATTCTCTAACATTTTATTTACAAAAATTTATTTATTGTTAAGGCCTAGGTGACAGTTATATGGCTAGTCTGCCACTAAAAGGAAACTTTCTCGTATGTTTCTGCTGTTACTAGAAAACTTTTCTTTTTTTAAAATTGTATTTTGCCGGGCGGTGGTGGCGCACGCCTTTAATCCCAGCACTTGGGAGGCAGAGGCAGGCAGATTTCTGAGTTCGAGGCCAGCCTGGTCTACCGAGTGAGTTCCAGGACAGCCAGGGCTACACAGAGAAACCTTGTCTTGAAAACCAAAAAAAACCCCCAAAAAACAAAAAAAATTGTATTTACTCTTTTTTTACAGTCCGGATTTTATCCCCCTCCTGGTCTGGTCTACCCTCTGACTGTTCCATATCCCATACCTTCCCCCTGGCTCCATCCTCATGAGGATGTCCCCCACCCCAACTAGGAAAACTTTCTAATGCCAAGATTGATTACATATTCTGTGTCCCTGGACACCAACCACGATAGAAGTCAGTAGAACTGTTTTATATAGTTTCCTCCAATAAGCTTGGAGCCAAACCAACCACCCAGAAGCACTTTCTACACCTATGTATAAGCTACCCCTGGGATAGACTCTAACATAAGAGAGACACCTGCAACAATTTAATATACTATTTGGAATAAGACTTCCATAGTGAGTAGTGGTCCAGTGTTTTAAGTTCCCAATACCTCCCTGGAAACTGACATTTCTACTTGGCAGAAATATGGAGACGTGTATGTGGGTAACTGACATCCCAGTAGACAAGACAGGACAAGGGAAGTCCCCTGACACAGGTGAATACCCCAGCCAAAGGGAGTAAGATAAATGTACAAAGACCTGCTCCTAAGGAAATCCCTTCTCCCTAAATCCTGATTGGTGAAATAATTGGGAACTGATGTTTGTATATTTTGAGCTTAAAAACCCTGTAGGATCTAACTCAGGGTCATGGTTCCGTTCTTGAATCTGGACCACGGGCCTAGTCGACCAGTCCGGGAGCCTATGCTAAATAAACTAGCTGTGTCTGACTGAGATCCATGTTAATATAGTTTGTGAGGTAATTCCTGGATCCCAACACTTATGTGGGTTCCAGGGACTACATTCAGGTTTCTAGGCTTGGTCTCAAGTACTCATACCTGCTGAGTCATTTCGATAGTCTGAAAGTTGTTACTGTTTATTATTATTATTATTGTTGTTGTCGTTGTTTTGAGACAGAGTTTTTCTCTGTTCTAGCCCTGGCTGTCCTGGAACTCACTCTGTAGACCACGTTGGGCATAAATTCAGAGATCCACTTGCCTCTGCCTCCCAAGTGCTGGGATTAAAGGTATGAGCCACCAATGCCTGGCTTTGAAAATTATCTTTAAAAAAAAAAAAACTTAAAAGAAAACAAAATTAATTTTTTAGAAAGAAAAACTTCAGTGAGATGTGATGATACATGCCTGTATTCAAAGCACTTAATAGATGATGGCAGGAGGATCACAGTCAGCTAGGGCTATAGAGTAAAACCCTCTTCCAAAAATCCACTCTCACCAGAAGAATAAAGTAGCTAAATAATACAAGCTTTTATTAGTTAAACCCCTTTTAAGTACTTGCTACTAAAAGTATATCAGATTTCAGAGTTTCAGGGATTTTTAGGCGTCTACACGTACTTTATTGGTGTTTAAATGACAGATTTCAAAACATTTGGATTTCAGATTTTCCTTTTGATTGTGCTGCGAACTGAATGAGGACCTTATGTACCAGGTGAAGACTATCACTGAACAAGTGCCTTCCCAGATCAGAGTTTGTATTTTCTGTTAGGAGTGTCCCACTTGTATTTATAAATATAATACCACCAGTATAACATCTTTTTGTGTCCATTATTCCCCTTTGCAACAGTTAACCAACCAACCATCTGATACCAGGAAGCACACAGTCTAAATGTACCAACAGAAAACACACACAACCCGAGGCTAAAATGCTGTTACTTGAAACTAGGTGAATAGATAATATTTCACTTTTATTACACTTACCAGAATTACCTGCTTTTGTCTTTGCTTGATTTTGCAAGGTAGCTTGATACTGAGCATAGGCAGCTAATTTAGCAACTAAAGGTTGTTTCTGAAGGACTTTTGCTTTCTTTGTTGGAGGCTTACCCTGAAACAAGAAAAGTTAAGTAAATAGGATTCTTCTTCATCCCTTCACAACCAAAATCTAACATGACTGCATACTACTCATTCTGCTTAAAAATTGAGGGTTTAGAAAATTATTAAAGCAGAGAAAACATACAAGGAATTTTAACATTAGAGTTTTTTTTTCTGAGTTCTGCTACAATGTAGTTATCTAATATGGGCAGTAGAGCTGGCGCAGACTAAAACAGCAATATGCGAATTAATATGTTAATAAAAATTATATCCCATAGAGTGTTAAAATATAGGATGTGGTGGATACTCAACTTCTCCTTAGAGAAGACAGAATCAGGGTTATTCACTCATGCAGCTGCAAAGCAATGCTACTGATATGGTAAGAGAAGTCAACTGAATGTTCAAAGAGCAAGTGACTGAGGTTTATACCTTTAGTGCTAACGCAAAAGGTCAATGACATAATGATCATGGCCAAATTCAGTGTGACAAACTGCATCCATTTGGGTACAGACCACTGCTCAGGATCTTTGGGAACTGTCTATCTGAAATATAGAAATACATCTAAGTGATGTATTTCCTTCATCTAGGGGATTTAAATAACTCAGTGCTATGTAATGATCACAATACATTAAATAAGAGAGACTGTGATCATACAAAAGATAGCTACAAAAATCAGTACTATAATGGCTTAGGAAATTTTACATGGTATGTAAACAACTGAGTCAAGGAAGTCAAGATACCAGTACTTTGTCAGCACTAATATATATTTAAAAGAGGATGATTTTCTTTTTATTTCATGGATGTTTTAAAAAAAAGGTGAGTTATATTAACCAAACATATTTGGTTAAGGCATCAAACTGGATGAATTCAAAAGTACAAAGCTGAACTTGCCTATTATGAACAAAGTTGGGGTTCACCCCAGCAATAAAAACCCTAAGAACAAAGAACAAAATCCAACGTACAGAGCAAAGTTGAGGGAAGAAAACAAAACAGAACCCCCACCCCCACCCCCAATGAATCATTCTCTTCCTTGATAGGAACTGAAGGACAAACTGGGTGGGGAGCACTAGAGAGAATAGATTTATGTTCTACATAGAACAAGGTATTTAATTGTACTTATGTGGAAAAGGTCTTATTCATTTATACAGATAATTTATAGCTCATCTCAGATAGCATGTTTTCACCATGTAAGATGCTCCAGTTTACACTGCTCATGGCTCCTACATTCCTAACAGTGCAGGTTGTAAACCACTGGCCTGTAGGCAGAGGTGGAGTGCAGTGAATCACAGTCAGATGACCAAGGAGTGAAAGCCATGGGAAACAAAGGAAGAATAAGAAGGTTTCTGTACCGTTACCTGAAGTCTGGCCAGAATGCTTGCCTTCTTAGAGTTTGACGAATAACTTCTTGAACAAGAAACACTACAGAAACGTTTCGTTTTAGAGTAAAAAGCATCTCGTACACCGACCATCCCACACATCTCGCAGGTAGCTAATCAATATAAGATAAAAACATCGGTATGAACATCATATAATAAAATCAAATGTCTCTACCTGTTTAGTGGTACTTATCTAAAAATATGCAATGAATTATTTTTCCCTATCTCTTACACAAATGATAGAGAAAAGTTAGACAGGAACTGATGGTAGTGGTGGTAGTGGTGTCTCCAAAGTCTAGCAATTTCCTGAAGGCCTAAAGGCTTTAAAAAGGTTGGGAGAGTATGGTGATGCATGTCTGTAACCCAACACTGAGAGTGTGAGTGTGTGTGTACAGAGACAGGCCCTGTTTTCAACTAAGATTTTTCCTAATGCTTATCATGTTGCTAGCAGGCATTTTCATTCATTCATTCATATATATATATATATATATTTGTTACATGTTTTGAATTTTAGCTTTTAATTGGGTTATGAGAAAAAGACTAAGAGGACTGAAACATAGCTGAGGATTAACAAAATGATAGCAAAAGCCTTTAAAGCACTGCAAAGGTTGAAACCAAAAAAGAACAAGAATTTAGAAAAATTAAGAGGATTCTGTCAAATTATGTCCAGGGGTCATGGAAAGATGGGGCAAGCTTCAATTCTGAGGTAGAAGTCTACTAGTAACTAGTCAGAGCAGGAGACAGCTTTGTTTCTGGTAGGTACTGCATAATGACTAATAGTTTGAAAGGCAGAATTACATAAACAAATGTCACCAAAGCTGCAATTCAAGAAAGACAGAGCTGGGTCTGTGCAGGCAGTCTGAGGCAGAAAGGCTGAGAGGTTGAAGGTCTACCTAGGCTGCAGAGTGGATTCAAGGCCAGTATGGGTAACTCTGGAAAATCCTGTCTCACTAAAAGGTGGGCTGGGATAGAGTTTAGTGGCAGAAAACTAGCATTCATGAAGCTCTACGTTCAATCCTTAGTATGAACCTAAGGGGAGCTGGGGGAGAAACCTAACAGGTTAATAGGTTAATGTCTCACCCAAATGGTTAGGCAAAAGACACTTGAAGCATAACCAGTACTTATGAATACATGAAAAATGGAAACAAGACAGACTATCCAAAATCTAAGGCTTTGTGTCCAGCAGAGAAAAAAAATGGAATAGTTCCTTGTATAAACTCTGTATCATTAAAAGATTTCTAATTATCTTCATTTAAAAAAAGAGGGGGGCTACCATAGTGGTGTATAGTTTTAATCCTAGCAACTAGGAGAAAAAGCATGACTGGTTTCCACAGTAAGATCCTGTCTCCAACAAAACAAAATCAGTCAAGGGTCAATGAATCTGACAAGAACTATACAATGTCAAACTGCACTGCTCCTTTGTGATAAGATTTTCTACACTGGTGTGACATCACTAAACCACAGCAAAAATATTTAGCAATTGAAACTCACTATGTAGCCCTGGCTGGTCTGGAATTCTGGAATTCACTATGTAGTCTAGGCTGGCATTGAACTCACAGAGCTCTGCCAGCCTCCGTTTTCCAAGTGCTAGGATTAAAGGTGTCCACCATCACACTAAGTTCAATATTTCTGAGGTGAGTTTTCAGTTTTGTCAACCATGACAGAGAAATATCAGTTGAAATTCTTCTTGTTCTGGTTTGTGGTGCTAGGTAACACGGTATCTTTCCACGCAAGAAAAAGCTCTATTACTGAGCTACACATCTGTCTTTCCGTATGTACATGTTCTTCTTCTTCTTCTTTTTTTTTTTTTTTTTGAGAGATAGTAGCTCTATGAAGTCTTGCCTGTTGTAGAACTTGCTATGTAGACCAGGGCGGCCTTGAACTCAGATACATCCTCTTGCCTCTGTCTCCAGAGTCTCTGGGACCAAAGGAGTACACCATGCCTGGTCCTATGAACATTTTAATCAATTGGGTTATCTTTTTGTTTTGTTCCCCAGACAAAGTCTCATGTAGCCCAGGCTGGCCTCAAACTTTTGGATCTGCTGTTGGGATTAGTGAATGCATACCACATATGATTCTAGTGGGTTTGATAAATGAAGTTCTGTGACAGTGTATACACAGCAGACCACACACGCATAAGCGCTGCTTGTGTGCATGAGAGCCAGGGGTCAACTTCAGCTGTTGTTCCTTAGGTGCCATCTTTCTTGCTTTCTTGAGACAGTCTGGTTCAAAGTTTACCAAGTAGGTTAGGTTTCCAGTGAGCTTCATGGATTCCTGTCCCCACCACCCTAGTTCTGGTTGGAATTATGAGTCGATACTTGGCTTTTTATGTGCTATCTGGGGATCAAACACAGGGCCCCATGCTTGCATGGCAAGCAGTCTACTAACTGAGCAACTGCCTCAAACAATGAAGTTGATTTTTACAGAAAAAATTGTTTCTGGGATGGCTTCCCTGTGTAGTCCATACGTATGCACACTTTTTATCTGTGGTCCCAATGACAGAGCCCAGGGCCTTGTGCATGTTAGGGAAGCACTGCCTCTTGGCCCCTTGTTTAGTCTTCAAAATAACACTACCACCAAATGAAAAAAAGTCAAAACAGCTTTATTTTGGGTCGATCTTAAGCATATTTTAGTACTGACAACTACTACAAAATGAGACCACTTTCCGTGTAAGCTAGAGAGCACCTTATTACTAGAAGTGATAGCTTATGCGCCAGGCCTAGTGGGGCAAGCTGAGGCAGGAGGACTACCTCAGTTTCAGGTCAGCCTGTAATTTATAGTGCAACCTCTTCTGAAAACCAGCCAACCCTTCCTCAAAACACAAACATAATGCCCCCCACTTCTGCCCTAAAACTTGGAATAAATTATCAGAGTAAACCTTATCTGGTTGTTTTTATAAACTGTATGAGCATTCCTACATTCAGTTCTAGAGACAGTCAATAACTGAATTTATTGTATACTAATATGTTGTTTATAATTTTGTTCTACTTGCTTCTCCCTGGAAGGTAGGATAAAGAAATGAAACACAAACTCTCCAACGTTTTCTGGAACTCCTGACTTTCAGGCTCAGTTTCTTCATTCCCTTAAAAATGTTAAATGAGAGGCAAGGCATGGTGTCATTGTTTATAATCTCAGCACTTCGGAGGCAAAGACTGGATGATTTTGAGTTCTAGACCCATCTGAGCTATACAGCAACACACTATCTCAAAATAAAATAAAAGGAAACTGAACTAACCTAACAAATAGGTCCAATGAAAACACAAGCTCAAACGTAAAGTCACACAACAGGTCAAAGTGCAGACACTCACCCATGCCAGATTTACCATCTGGGTATGTGTAGACTTGTCCATTATTTTTGATAATTGGGAGGTTGGACGGTAAAGGAGCAACTTCTTCTTCACTCTCCTCAGAACTGGAGCTGCTACTTGTGTCCTCACTGCAGCTATCATAGCCGTCAAACATCCCGAACAAGTCTGCTTTTTCTTTTGGATTGTGAAGAATGTTCTGTCTTTGTAGAAGAAACCAGTGACATATGACATAGTGTGCATATACGTCCCCTTTACAATTTCTTAGCACAAATTCTGCTAAATGAGATTTGACAAGTGAAAGTCTAGTAGAGAACTGATCATTTTTGTTTGTTTAATATGATAGGGTATGTATTACAACTTGGGTTGGCCTCAAACTCAGGTGATTCTCCGACTCAGTCTCCCAAGCTGCTGGGATTATAGGTGCAGGCTTAGCAGACAACACCATATCCTTTTCAAATATTCTAAGTGTCTTTTAAAAAAAAAAAGTATATGAGTGTTTTGCCTGCATGTATGCCTATGCACTACTTGTGTGCCTGGTACCTATAAAGGCCAGAAGAGGTCATTGGATCCTCTGGAACTGGAGTTATAGACAGTTGTGAACTGCCCCACATGGCATACTGAACCTGTGTCCTCTGGAAGAGCATCAATCACTGACCCATCTTTCCAGCCCTTTTTCTTATTTTGAGACAGGTTTGCCTAAAGCTAGCCTTAATCCTTCTGACAGCTGAGTAGCTGAGAATTCACAGGCATGTCCTATTGTGCCCAACTTGGTTCTTCAGATCATACAAGGGAAATATTATACCCTAAAGAATATTGACTTAGGAGCTTCCCTTGGAAGACTTTGCATACACCAATTATGTTGCCACAATTCCTAGTCCCAAAGAACGCTTCTATTGTTCTGAGCAAGTTTTGGGTAGTTTTATAATTACATCTATCTTCAAAGAGTCAAGATTTGATACTATTGGAATATTTAAAAAGAAATTATCAGATTCTAAAGGCAATTCCAAAAGAAAAGTTTTTCTATTTTACACTTATGGAGTAGGTGGTAGGGAATGGGCTAATCTTCATTTGATAGTGCGGTGACATGAACACAGAATTTTGATTAACCTGACATTATTACCTGAGAACTTGAGTTTTTTCTTTTAGTCACCCAGTAACTACTTATCAAACAACTGTGCACCTCCACCATAACTGAGGGCAGAGACAGAATAGTGTACATAGCAGACACAGTTCTTAATAGAGCAGTTATGTGACAACAGAAAAAGATGGGGCTGGTGGCATACTCAATGGTAACATCATCTTTAGTGAAGTATTTATTACAAAGCACTTTATTCTGGAGACAAAGCATTCCTCTAGGAATTAAGCTTGTTAAGACACACGATTTTTTTTTCCCCCGAGACAGGGTTTCTCTGTATAGCTGTGGCTGTCTGGAACTCACTCTGTAGACCAGGCTGGCCTTGAACTCAGAAATCCAGCTGCCTCTGCCTTCCAAGTGCTGGGATTAAAGGCATGCACCACCACTGCCCGGCTTAGGCACAGGATGTTTTAAAGGCAAGGTGAAATGTCATCTTTGAGGGAAACGCCTTAAGCTTAAGAAGTAAGCAACTCAAAGGCCTGCAGGAAGTCCCTGAAACTGACCAGATACATTAGATGCCTCCTCTCCAAGCTAAGGACTGCTGAGAGACATTGTCTGGAAGAGGCAGAGACCATCTGAGCAGTGACCACACTGAAGCAGTGTGCTTCAAGCTTTCAGCTTTTGTGAGCTGTCACAAAATGCTGGGGTGGGCTTTGGAGATAGAGCTGTCATTGCTCCTCCTTTTAAGTAACTCCTCACCCACAGCTCTGCAAGTAACTCTAATCAAACTTACTGACTCATCAAATTGGAATTTGGTGGTATCCTTATTTTGGTTTGTCATCAAACCATGAGTAGATTTTTGTTCATGTCTCCCCAGGAATAGTGTCACACACATGAGTGTCACACACCCTGAGAATAAAAATGGTGACCCTTGAATATTTGCTGTTGGAACAGGCAGAGGAAGGATCAAGATAAAGGATTTTGAGTTGGGCATGGTGCCTTTAATCCCAGCACTAGGAGTAGGGTAGGGTAAAGTGGTGAGGGGTGTGTGTGTGTGTGTGTGTGTATGGAGATACAGATAAATCTCTTTGACAGTTTAAGGTCAGCCTCATCTACATAGTGAATTCACAGGTCCTTTGGTCTGAATGTGGCTTTGGTCTGTATGGGAAAGAGTGTGTACCATAGATGGCCAGTAGTCAAAGATGGGTAAGAGTGTTCTTGAGCTCCTATAGACCTAAGACAGAGACATACATCAATAATGCTATGTATGTTTTCTATGACAGGTAATAGGAGCAATATAGACACTGTCCTAAGACAGACATGGTTGTCCGGCCACTCTTTACCCTACACGGGATAATGGAAAACAAGTAAATCTTTTGCCCTGTCTAGCTGCTGGAACTGCTCATCTTTAAAAAACTAATAAGGGGGAACTGTGCTCTCCCCCCAGCCTTGAGCTGGCTGGAAAGACCTTGTTTATGGCTGCATGGACAACTTCCTACAGGAACTTAGAAGAATAGACTGCCCCACTGAGCTTGCCTTGAGACATAATCCCGCTGAAACAAAGGAAGGGTTCTCCAACCCATCTCCTACTGAAACAAGGATGGGTTTGGTGGGGGCTTTTCCTTTGAATAGAAGAGCTGAATATTAAACTTTGAGCCTTGACCAGAAAACTTTGTCTTGGCTTCATGCTTCTCTCCAGTCTCTGTCTCCCTTTTTCATTTCCAGACCCGCTTTCAGGTGATCCCAGTTTGTCCGTGGCTGCAGGTGGTTACAGTACATGATAGAAAACTGTCTAAAACCAAAAGCAAAATCTATAGGATTTGGGAGCTGTAATACTTTTGATACACTGATCTCATGGCATATGCCTAGCTTGAGTGGACTAGAGATGATATACAGGAGGATTTGTAATTGGATCATAAGAGGTCTTTTGGGCTAACTTACATAAGAATTTTCCCACCATCGGGCCAAGAGAAGACAGTGTATAAACGACTTACTACAGTATTTAGTTTACAATATTAACTAACATTAGCCAGACTAGACTCTGAATCCCAGCCCACTTTCATGCAGAAATATCCATGAAGACTCCACTTGAGGCCAGTGAGATGGCTCTGTGCTGGCAGCACAGCCTAATTTAATGGACTTCATTCCCTAAACTCTATGGTGGAAGGAAAGAACCAACTACTGGAAAATTATTTTGCGATCTCCATGTGCCACAGCATGTGTACATTGGTACATTTACACACATATGTACATGTATACATACACACTCATACACAAGAATAACACAACAATATTAAAATAAAGAGCCCACCTAGACTTTAAACCCAGCACTAGCAGATCTGTGAGTCCAAGGCCAGCTTGAGTTTCAGGGCTACATAGAGAGACCCTGTCTCAAACAAACAAAAGCAAAATAATCCTCCCAAACAAAGATCAACCCCCCATCAAAAAAAATTACCTCCTCAAATCAAAGTCTTTCAAAGTTTTCAAATATGCTTTCCTACTACACAGCTAGTTCATCTAGCAAGTAATATATGTTACCTCAAAATAGCTTATTCTAACTCTACTTTCAATAAAGTATCATCTTGACATTTCAGAAGATTAATGATTAGATGGCATACCACAGGCTGTCAATATTTTTTAAGAGTTAATGCCAGACATGGTAGCACACATCTTGTTTTAGTTTGCTTTCTGTTGCTGTGATAAACACGATGACTAAAAGCAACTTGGAATGGGTTTACTTCATCTTACACTTCAGGTAACAGTCCATGACTGAGAGAAGTGAGGGTAGGAACTCAAGGTGCAAACTGAAGCAGAGGCCATGGAGGAACACTCACCCCCTCACTGGCTTGCTCTCTGGGTTATTCTATTAGTTTTCTTACAGAGCTCATATACACCTGTCTATGGATGGTCTGTCTCCCCTACACTAAGTGGGCTGGGCCCTCCTATGTCAATAATGAATAAAAAAATGTTCCACAGACATATCCGCAGACCAATCTGACTAGGGTAATTCTTCAATTGAGGTTTCTTCTCCCAAGGTGACTCTAGCTTTGCCAAGTTGACAATAAAAGCTAAGCAGGACACACCTGTAATCCCAACACTGCAGGCTGGGGTGAGAGTATCACATGTTCAAGGTTAGTACCTGCTGGATAAAGTAACATGAGTATTTAGGAAAATTTGTCCTTTCAAGTTCTTTAGAGCCTTTAATATGCTTATGGACATTATTAAAGAGGAATATACAGTATACAGTAATGTTGGGAGCTAACTCTTAGCCGAAAGTGGCTATCATCTTTACAGCCATCTCGAGCCATATACCCTGACAAGAGATTTGTTTTCAACAGCCAGCAACAGCTGAGCACACTCTGATAAACATCTTGTTACACTGTTTAGTGCCCCCAGCTGCAAGCTGCACGTGGTATCCATGGCTACAAGGCACGTGATGTAGTGCCATCAGTTGAGCTTGTCTACGAGGGCAAGTCACGTGGTAAAGGGTATAAATACCCAGGATTTCCTTTCTCTAAAAGAGAAGAGACTTGACCAGACTCTGTCTTGTATCCATCTTTTACGTCCCTCGCTCCTCCATCCCCACTCTCTCTCTTGCTAGACCCTGACCTGCGGACCAGGGCAGCAGAACGGGCCGTTACACAGTAATATTTTTTAATTTCTAGAGAATTTCTAGAGAAATGTTCTCTGACCTTTTCCATAGTTCTACTACACACAGAAAAGATAATCTTTATAACATGTAGGAGAGTATGTCCCTAGACACACACACACAGGGTAAGAAATCTGGCTATGACAACATACTGTATACTCATACAGTATTTGATTTACTTATTACAACAAAAACAAAAACAAGATTTTATTATTTTTAGTTATTAACTATACTGTGTAAGGGTAGGTGCTCATGGAGGCCAGATGTCAGATCTCTTATGGTTGGAATTTTAGGTGGTTGTGACCCAAACTTGGGTCTTTTCTAAGCACAGCAAGTGTTCTTAATTGTTCAGTCATCTCGTTAGTCCAACATCATTATAATTTATGACACTATTTGGGAAGCTGTATTCTTTGGAAGAGCTGTTCTCTAAGTACGTATCCTTCTATTAAAATAGTCTACTAGTAACAAACAAAAAC